GACAACAGCGGAGACAACAGTTTAAATTGAGATTATGAAGGGAGACAAATTCGGCTAGTCCCCGGCGAGGCACGCCACAGCATCCGGCTCCCAGACTCAGACAGAGCAGAGACAACAGGTTAAATTGAGATTATGAAGGGAGACAAATCCGGCGAGTCCCCGGTGAGGCACGTCACACTATCCCTTTCTTTGCACAAATTGAGAACCCCAACACTTCGCTGTTTGGGGAAAACAAGCAGGCCCCCTTGACGTTGTTTTCTGTTCCAAAAGGCTTTCAATGCAGCTCAGCTGAAGCCATCGAAGCCAGCGAGTCAACTCGCGCGGTTCCGCAAGTATGATCACCCAGACACGCCCAGGATCTCTCCATGATTTGGCCGTTAATGCCAAGTCAAATGTTAAAATGTTGTCCGGCCAAAGGACCCGAAACTGCTCGAGCAACATTCACTCTGCAGAGCAGATGGAGCAGCTTGTTGTGTTGCCTCCTGGCTTCGTTCGCAACTCAGGCTGATGGCCGCTGACATTTTTTTTCACATGCTGTGCCGTCAGAACTCAGGATAAGTCTGACCCCTTTGGGCAGAAGAAGGTCCCAACGTCGTTTTGCGTTCAGACACTCTGTTTCGCCTGTGGTCAGTGTTTTCGACTGCCAGTCAACACTTTTTGCCGGGACTTTCCGACCGCAGCGCAGCCGGTCGGTCCTCGCCTTGCCGTGGCGGAAGCGCCAGCATGTTTTGATGTTTGCGATAACATCCCATGGTTAGAGCGCAAGAGCATGCCCTCACATTGTGCACATCGGTGGACCAAGGTGAAGTTGGCTGCTGAAAATTCTTTGCGGGCCCCTCAGACCGAACGGTGAGAAGTAGTTGCACACTTGCCGTCGAGACATGATAGAAGCCCGTGAAAGACTAGCTGAGTTATCTGCAGCCTGTCAATGCGCAGGAAACACGGTCCGGCGAGTGCAGCTGCCAGCGAGGCAAGAACCGTGCAATCGTGGCGATGGGATCGGGCGGGCCGAGCCAGGCAGCCCAAGTTACCAGTCTCGCGGCTGAGACGTTGAATCCCTCCAGGGGCGGGCACAGGTTGAGGAGGTCATGCAAGTGCAGTCGAAGTCCAGGCATAGCAGCATGGCGTTGCACATCCGGGAGTTTCGTCACCTGCGTCGTTTTAATCCTTGCCTAAGGCAGGCCCGTGACCGGAGGTGCCAGGAGCCAGGAACCGAGTCTTGAGAGGGACGTGCGAGGGACTTGCGAGCCTCCGGCTGTGCAAAGTGCCGTCTTCTCGGAGGCCGGCCGAGCACCGGTTCGAATTTGGATGACATGTGGGACGGAATGGGGCTGGACAGGTCTAACCCAAACGCAACAACAAAGGGTTTGGCTCCCGTGGAGGACCTGTTGGCTCCCTTCTCACTCCGCGATCACGTCGGCAACTTGTTGCAACAGTGACGCTCTGAGGCTTAGGGGGCTTTTGCATTCTGCATGAAGGCATGAAGGACTAGCGGTGAATGCCATGTGATGCCACTGGAGGCCGTTGCCGACACGAGGAGAAGGAATCAAAGACTATTCGAAGGAGTGCTCGATCGGTCCGTTGCCTGCAAGCTCCCTACTGGCACTGCCAGACCCAGCCTAGCGAATTGTGGCACGTCGTGAATGTAAGGTGCCGCCGACCCACTTGAGCCACACTCCATCAGAGATGCATGGCGCGACCCTGAGACAGAATCCGACTTGTGGGAGCTGCAAGGCGCCGTAGGCAGTGGTCCGGGCGGTCTGTCGCCTTGCTCCTCCCTGCTCAGCGTCGTGGTTATTTTGGGCCTTGCGTCGCCGCCTCGTGCTGCCTCGCCCCCTTGAGGTGCCTTTGCCTACACTGCACAGCTCCACAGAGGCATTCTGGCCCAACAGGCCCGGAGCCCTGGGATTTCAGAGCACTCCGCCCTGGCAGTTCGAAAGGCTTCGGAACAGTGGCGTGGTTTTCCCAAGAACGACCAGACAGCTTTCAATGAAGCACGAGCGAATGCCCCAGAGCAACGTGCAATCTTGTGCAGCATCAGCAGAGGAACCTATGTGCAGGTACATATGGGCCACATCATGCGCAAGTGACCGGCTGACCACTCCAGAAAACAACTCGACAGTTGACTGACCTAATTGTGAATCAGAAAGCTTGAAGACAAACTTGGTATACGTGGGAGAAACTGTTTCACCATCTTCATCTCAACCGTCCAGTTTTGCCGAGCATGCTGCATGGTGTGAGGACTACAGGCGTAAGAGTGCTTGCTCCCTTCGGGAAAATCAGAATAGATTATGTGCAGTGATCGTGATGTCTGGGTGGGATTGATTGAGTTGCTGGCTGCTCTCATGTCTTCACGGACTTGACCCATCAGATTACCGAGCACGCGGTGCTGGTGCCCCACATACTCTCATATAGACACATAGCGAGATGCATCTGATTGACGCGGGTGTCCCAGCTTTTGCTCAATCCAAGACATGCTTGGCACCCAGCACAACACGCTGACAGAAATTAACCGCGGCCTGATTTCCTTTCATGCACAAAGTGAGCAGTGCAGACTTGCTCCCAATGTTCTGAAAAGTACATATATATATATATATATTCCTGCTGGAGATCTGCAAGATCATGCTTGAGTGGTCAAGCATTGATGGCGAGGCGGCTGTCACAACGCTAGAGAGGTGTTTTCGGCGGACAGTCCTGTCGAAGGCAGAGGGCCTCCCGAAAGCGGAGACAGTGCAGCAGTTCAGGCAAGAGGCTGCAGCGGCAGCTGCGTGGCCTTCGTCCCTGTCTGCAGGCTTGTCTCTGCCGATCTCCCCCTGAAAGTCGACAGGGATGCCCTGGCTTTGGAGATGAAGGACGGACGCTTGCGCAGGTTGCGATGTGCTTTGCTAGGGTATTCTCGGAAGTTCTCGGACAGGACGAGCTCTTGCCCTCCCTGGTGTATGCAGAGGACCTGCTGTCAGGTGCGAGGCGCAACCTTAGACGGATGTCAGCGCTCACGTGAGCTTGCAGGTCCCGCGCACCTGGGGAGGCAGGTCCCGCTTTTGATCGTGGATCCACGTGTCTTTTGTGCGTGGTCTTCGCCTCTGTCAGGCCGAGGAGCATCCTGGATTGCACCTCCCAGCATGAGGTCCGCAAGAGAAACTCGTGGAGATCGTCATTCAGCATCGAATCGTTGTGGCTTCCCTTGCACAGGAAGGTGCGGAGCCCATGCGGGTCAAGATGGTGGGCAGAAGCCACGAAGCTTTGGACGACGTAGATCCAGTGGTGGTTGGCTCAGCTTGAACCAGAGGGGTTATCTGCAGCTGGTACTGTAGCCTGGTGATTATATGCAACGAGAGTGTTTTGCGGTCCTACGTTCCTCTCCAAAACCTCCTACATGCGGGGGAGTTGAAGTTTGCAAGTGCATACCTACTTGAAGGAATCTGCAGGTTTCCGCTGTCCTGACTCAGATCTCGTGAATTTGGAGATCAACATACTAGACGGGCCAGCTCGGGGGTGTAGACGACCATGCAAGGTTGGAGTTCAATTCGCTTCAGGCTTGATGGGCTTAGGGTTCACCCCCACACGAGAGGCACCCCTCCTAGGGCCTTAGGTTTTCGTACCTCCCTTCAAAGCTTTGGAATTTACGAAACCAGGCACTCCTGTTAGGGTTTTGGGTGTCCACACCAGCCACTGCTTTTAGCCTCTCAGCGTCTTGGCTTTTCGCGCTTACCCCCTGCTGCCCTAGCACTCAGTGTAGAGTTCTGGGTTTTCGCATGACCCACTCCCTGTTCGGGTTTGGGTTGTCGCACCCATTCACTTCTTGCAGGGTTTTGGGTTTTTACACCCACCCACTTGTTTTAAGGTTTTCGGTGTTCCACAAACCCACTTCTTTCAGGATTCTGGTTTCCACACCCACCCACTCCGTTTAAGGCGTTGGGTTTTGCGCACCAACCTTGTTAGGGTTTTTTTGGCAAGCCACTCGTGTTAGGGTTTAGGGTTTCCGGAACCAGCCACTGCTTTCAGGGTTATGGGTTTCGCACCCACCTGCTCCTCTTGCGGGTTTGCATTCGTGAAGCAGCTCCGTCTTTTAGGGTTTCAGTGTTGTACCTCGTCAGGTTATGCCAGGCACCCCTGTTAGGGTTTTCGGTTCTCGCACTGCTACTCCTCGGTGGGTGTTGGGTTTTCGTACTTCCACGTCTTCTAGGGTTTAGGCGGCTTAGGTTTTGCACCGGAGGTAGCCTTCATGGGAGATTGGTACTAGCCAGCATAAACAGACGAAAGCCAGTTTTGGGATGTGCTCGCTGCAGGCCCATGGGCCTGAGTTGTGCTCGGCCACAGGCGCGGGCCGCGGGTTAGCAGCTAGACGGGAGCTTTTCAATGCTCTTGCCCGCAAGGAGACGGTCCATCCGACGAGCCAGGCATGCCTGTTGCCTGGCCCCCAAGGATGCTTTGCAGAGGGGAGATGCAAGAAAAGATCGCTCCAGGCATTTGGTAGCAGTGGCGGGCGAGTCGCACCGAGAGTGTCATTGTGGGGCAACATTCTACGGATTTTATGGCCATTTATGGCTACTTAAACCCAATCAGGAAGAGAAAGTTCAATTTTTCATACCGTTTCAAAAAACAATGGAACTCACACAATGCCAAGAATCACGTAAATGACGTGCAATCGGATCCTGGCACTCCGAAGCCCTGGCTTGAGGAGTGGCTGCAGGTCACGACCATCATGATGCGAAACTTGCCCAACAAGCGAGACCCACAGCACAGGCAGCACAGGCTGCGCTGATTCATCCTTGGTTTGAGGTACACGCAGCGAATGCTCCTCATGGAGGCTTTTTGCTCTTTCGAAGCTGTCACAAACCTGTAACTCCAGGTGCTGGCTTTTTCGACCTGTGACAACTCGGGAAGGTGAATCATGCTGGATTCTTTGGAAGCTTCGACTTCTTCTACCTTCCGATTGGTCCGGCATGCATGTTTCGTGGTGACTCTCAGTCGTTTGTGGAGTCCGAAAGTCCGCCTATTTGCAGCGATGTGTGTCGTGTGATATCGCATGCAACTGCCAGATACAGAAACAGGGGCGAACAGGGGTTACGCCTTCTTGAACTTCCTGGATCCTGCGCTGGCATGGACGTGTGGCACCAACTTTCAGAGTGTGCGTGCGTTGTTCCAACAAGCGACCGTAGGTTGCTTCCGTCTCCTTGCTCAGGTTTCGCATGATGTACGAAGGCCGCAAGATGAGCCGTTTCAACTCCAGCAAGGCTTCATGACAAAATTGCAGGGCTCCGAAAAATGCACGCACCTACTGTCAGATCATAACCATTGTGCCGGCGACCCTCCAGGTGCAGTTCCACGTCTGTTGCCTTTGCCTTTCGGCCTGTGCTTGGCGCAGGGCTTTGAGGCGAACTACATGCACTACGCCTTTGCACGCGCATGTCGCCCAGATGGCACCGTTTGGTTGCGCTCCGGTCTTCGGTCTACACCGTGCATCAGTTGACTTGCTTTGTGTGGCCGGCACATCGAGCCTGCACTGAGGTCAGTCGCGGGGACCTAACCGCGAGGCCACTCTTCCTGAGAGTTTTCTCCTCAGGTGTTCGCAGTCGCTTTTGCTGATCCCTCGCCGTCGAATTGTGCCGAGGACACGAAGGCTTCACTACTAGGCATGGGAAGCCACAGTTGTAGGAGGACGCAAGCATTGATGCAGCGGTCCAATAGGCGCTCAAGAAGCTCTTGGTCCATGTCGAGCACGCCACTTAGAAACAGTCGTGGAAGTACCATGTCCATTGCAACTTATCTAGGCGGGCGGAAGAGGTGAGGAAGCTTGGCGCCCTCCTCACCGGCCTAGTCTCGGCATATTGTGTCAAGAGTCCGGAGGGCCGTCGCTTCATGGACTTCGTTTTGGTAAATCGCAGGTACGCTCCTTTGCCCGTGTACGAGGAGGAGACTTTGATGTCTTGCAGCTGTTTCGCGGCCGTTGTGCGCTGCGAGGCCAATCCGATGTGGAGTGAAAGCGACAGCTCTGGCCGGGTTCCTGGGTCGGCGACAAAAAAGATAAGAGCAGCGCTTGGCCGGCAGCCTCGTAGTCTGCCCTGCCCCGAGGCACGAGCCAGGATGCTGAGGTGCCCGTGCCGGCATCCGTGATGCCTGGTGTATTGTCGGCCCAAGATCTGCAGGCGCCCCTTCGTACTGCCGGCTACGTGCCCAAGTTGTCAGCGACTTGAAGCAGCCCTAAGAAGCTGGATTGCGCTTGCAGATCGGCTGTTGCTTTCTCAGTTGCTCACAATGCGGTGGACGCATTCAGCTGATGTTTGCATTCTGCCTTTTGCTCAGAGAAGTGCCCTCTTGTCGGTACAGTCCAGCACTTCAGTAGCCCAGCATGGAAGCATCTCCGATTCTCGAATTGGCTTTCAGGTCCAAGTTGTGGCCAAGCTCTCGACTTCAGCTGACGAGCCGGAGTCTTTGGTAGAGGTCAGATTCCTTGAGTCATTGAGGCAGCTTGTACGAGAGAATGGGTGCAAATCAGAAGTCCCCTGGCTGCGACAGAGCTCTAGGACCGAGGGAAATGACGAGACACCAGCCTCAGATCTGCAGCCTCACTATGGGATCCGATGTCTTTCAGCATCGGTAATTCGTTTGTGGACGGCCAGCCTTGCCGGAACTGGCCCCACTGCAAGTTTTCAAAGCACACCGTCTCAGGGGAGGTGAGATGAAGAGTCTCTTCTCTTTGCCCTGTTGCGGATTGCGCGGCAATTGCGCGGCAAGAGTGCACCTTTGCGCTGAGAGCTGCATCAGGCAGTGCCTCAGTCTTGGAGTCTTTAGGCTCGAAAGGCCTAGTGATGTAAATATGCGGAGCTCTTGAGAACTCGTCCGTTGCATCCCTTTCCGGAACGGTTGTAAACCTCTGGAGCAACGGCGGTGCTCAGAACATCCCTCCGACTGTCCCATCTCGCATGTGCGAGGACCTAAGTTTTTACATGCCGCACCTGTGCGATCCTGACAGAACTTCATGACACTCAGAGTGCCAGGCACATACTTGCGATTACGGCTCAATGTGGAGGGCGACGGTGCGAAAGTTGCGGGTGTGATTTGGAGAGTCTCTGAGGTGGGACTCTCTCGTCGTTTCCTGATCTTTACCCGCACAGGTGATCGTCCGTTCCGGATGCTTGTGTTGCTTGATGTTTGCTCTTGACTCAGTGCATGGCAGGCAGGAAAAGTGTGTAAGTTGATTGGAAGCCTTCCTCAGCTTTTCTCTCTAAGTCAGCTCGCAGCTGCAAGTTTTTTGAGCCTCTCCCAAGCTGCACTTGGCTGCGAGCTCATGGATACCGCACATGCTGGTCGGAGCTCCCCTGATCCGTGCCAAGCAGCCGTTTCAGGTCTCTTCGGCCCTCAAAGCACTGGATGCACGTGATTCTGAGCAAAAGTTCATGTCACACACATGACAGCTGCGTAGCCGGAAAGTGCGAGAGTTGATTTGGATTAGACTGGTAAAAATTGCAAAGTCCGCACGCAGACGTGGGATCGGGCTCTAATGTCTAGACCCTAGACGTCAAGGAGCTCCACCTTGTCATGACCATCGCACACTGATTGCTCCATCGAGTCGCAGACTATCTTTCAGTGAAGCAACCAGTTGCAGACAGCGGATCGGGAAAGGCTTTAGTTGTGGAAGCTTTTTCCTTGTTCACTGTCACTGACCGCTTGCTGCAGTTTGCAAGAAACCTGTAAAGGAACCCCTCCCAGCCCAAATTTGTTCGTCCAAAGCGAGTGGGTCTAGATCGATGACGTATGCCGGCCTGTAATCGGGTGACGATGATGAGAAGGTGTGAGGATCTTCTGATGGAATGAAAGCTCGACAAATTCCCACATTGTGTTGGCAGCAAGTACTAGTAGGTGCGATCGCAAGAGCTGCCCAGCGAGTTACCATGCTGTTGAGCTTTCGGAACTGGTAGTTAGCCATGTTTCCAAGAGCATGAATAAGGCAGGCAGACCATGCTTGCGACGCTGCTTAACATCCCCAGAGGCCTCGGAAGGCCAGCAGAAATGGTTGGCCATGAGTCTTTAGCCGTGGCTTCGGCTTGAGCTTTCGTGGCTGGAAGGTGCTCGCGACTAAAACGTACCGTGCGTTGCTTTCAAGCAGAGGCCATGTGTCGTCCCATCATCGCCTTTGTGCTCACCTTCTGCAAGTCCGACATTGGAACGACCTGAGGCCGGTGTGCAAATGCCCTGCGGCCAGTTCTGAGTACACAAGATCGCAGGTGCTTGCCGTGAATGTTTGTGGCACCTAGATGCTGTAGAGGCTGCGCGATCCGTTGGCCACAGGATTTTGCTGTTGCAGCAGGTTGTGCATCTGCACATGATTTGTCTACGTCGGCGGGAAAGAGGCCCTTTGGCATCGCGCTTGGATTCACATGGGAGAGCGCTAGAGCCGGTTTTGCCGAAGGCATTGTGGCTTTGAGCACAAAGAACTGAGACTGAATCGCTTTAGTTGGAGTCATGGCGCTTGGACGAGTGTTCTCGTCGTTGGCAATTTCGGTCATAGTCTTGGCCGCAGAGCCGCCGCAGCAGTGCAACGGAGCCTGTGCTGAGGGTGACGAGGTGCAGTTTCTGCACATTAAGGAGAACGGCAAGGACAACAAGAACAGCGCCGATAGTGTGGTGTTCAAAGTGTCTCCAGTGAACGGTGAGAAGAACTCATTGTTGTCAAAGGGCGTAAAGACATCGGTCGTCCTTGGAGGTGGAGGAAATCCACAAGCGGCACGGGAAGTTGGCTACCTCCGTGCCTTGAATCAAATGGGCCTTCTGGACGGGATCGATCAGATGGTTGAAACCGCCGGGCTTGTTACCGCACCCCTGCTGTACGCCAAGGGCCTCACGTTGGATGAACTCCTAGGACCCCCGACGGAGCCTGCAAATCTGACTCTTTCAAGCGTCGCAACTGCCAGTGGGTCCAAGATTCTCGAGGTGATGACCTACCCAATTGGATGGTCCATCGCTCATACAGTTTTTGCTTCAGCCCCAAGTTTCGGCGGGCCCGTGTCAAATGCTGACTTCTTTGAGTCGGTCATCGCTCTGAACTACCTTTGCCCCTTCGGGTTGAATGGGAAGCTGCCAGCGCCAGGATTCAGTGCGCTTGGAGAAAACTTTCTGGCTACAGCAGCAGGTGTTCTAGGTGCAGACAAGGTGCCACCCTTGCCGGCCGATTGCAGCCAGCATCTTTCGAACAAGAACCAGGTCTGGGCTTTGGACGAGGCGCACCTCCAGAGGATGGCGAGCCAGAACCCGACTCTGGACATGGAGGGAAACCTCACCATCCAAGAGATCAGTACCCTTTGCAGGTCGTTACGCCGTACTTCTGGTTCAGCCCTGACCAGTGCGGAGTTCCCTTCTTCCCCTGGGACCCGATCTTCAAGAGCTTCGACTACCAGCCACTCAACTCGAGTGAGGCTGCTCGAAAGGACGTCGTTTTGGGCGGCTGCGTGGTGGACTCCATTGCCTGCTTGTCCACCATCGCCCCAACACAGAGCCAGGAGCAGCAGGGCAAGACAGAAGAGGCCAACAGCAACTTCGCGGAGAGCAACTCAGGGAATGCGGCGCTCTTCACATTGCAGGATGCAGTTGGCATAGCCTCGAACGACTATGACACAGACGTTGTCTACAATGTCACCGGGAAACTTGAGACTCTGGATGGCTTGCTCACCGCGGCGCGACAAGCGCGTGACCCGTCGGATCAATATCCCATAAATCAGCAGAGGGTCTATTGGCCATGTGCCGAGCCCGAGAGGGGTGATGTGCAGGAGAAGACGCACTATGTGTTCAACGGAGTAGGTTCTGGCACCGGTCTCGTCCACGCTCTTCAAAGCGGAGCCGAGTGCTTTATGTCCTTGACGGGAACCGGGATTCAATACGGTGGCGATGTACGAGTGCAGTCTGTTGGTGACATCCCGCTCATCTCGGACTTCCTGGACTGCGAGTCCTTCAAGATCACCAACTTCAGTGCATGGGCGGCGTGGCTCCAACGACCGCCGGTCAGCGTTAACCTTTGGGGCATCGACCGAGACGACTCGAATGTTGAGTTCACAATTCCCGATGAGACGAGTTTGCCTGGAGTTTCAAGTACCTTTGCTGCCAGCAGGACGCAGATATTCGAACCTGGCAGCTTGTTCCCACTACTTTGTAAGGTACAGGAGAGCTTTGACAACGGGGGGCCTGTGAGGGCCAGCGCCACGTTGACGACTGTTCAGAACATCCACTGGGCTATTGAAGCGGGCCAGAAGATCCGTGTCCTCTTTGTCTTCCGAGAGCAGTCGCCCGACTGGGAGGCGTTGCTTCCAGAAGAGACCAGGACCATGATCCAGGATGGTAGCTTTACCAGCGGCATCACCGGCAGACAAGGCTGGCCTTTTCTGCAGCCCACCTTCCCCCAAGGGCAACCAAATCAAGCCGGCGTCGATCCCTCTGCCATTTCGCCTGAGCAGGCCAACCTCATTGCGGCGCAGTCAGAGTGGGAGATGCTGCAGATGCGTGAGGACGTCGAGGCCTGCATGAACGGAGAGAAGAAGTCGTACTATGCTCGCTCAAGTTTCCCCCGGCCCTGGGGATTCAACCGCCGAAATTGGCGCTGAGCGCCTTGTACGCCCGAGAACTCCAGAAAACCACTAGTTATTTTAGTTGCGCTTTTCCCGACTTGGGGCCTCAGAGCTGCGTTTTGCTCCGACCGAGCAGCACTGAGTTTGTTTATGTCTGGACGAAATTCCCAGACCTTTCCCGACTCCCCCCCGTAAGGGGGCGGTGCATTGAAACAGAGCCGCAAAATGACTGTGACGTGGACCGCGGCTGACCGCGGGGCTGGTGCTGCTGCTCCTCGTCCTGCCTGTCCGCGGGCTTAAAGTCGACAGGGATGCCCTGGCTTTGGAGATGAAGGACGGATGCTTGCGCAGGTTGCGATGTGCTTTGCTAGGGTATTCTCGGAAGTTCTTGGACAGGACGAGCTCTTGCCCTCCCTGGTGTCTGCAGAGGACCTGCTGTCAGGTGCGAGGCGCAACCTTAGACGGATGTCAGCGCTCACGTGAGCTTGTGGGTCCCGCACGTAGCTTCAGATCGTCGCTCCTCGCATCTCGCAGGCCGAGGTCCTGGATTGCACCTCCAAGCATGAGGCGCGGAGATCAGTAGCATTGCATCGTGGTGGTTTTCCGTTGAAGGCGAAGGTGCGGAGCTCATGCGGATGTGACGAAGCTTTGGACGACATGGATCCAGTGGTGGCCGCCCCAGTCTTCAGCAGTGAGTAGAGTGCTGTGCGTTGTTCGCGCCATGCCTTCAAGCATTGTAGCTGCTGCCCGCTTCATGCACGTTTCTCCCCAGAATCTCCTGCATTGCCGACCCCATTGCCCGATGCCGTCCATGCGGTGGGTTGAGGGCAGTTGAAGTTAACAACTGCATCGGAAAAGTCGCTCATGAGAGAGCGCAGAGACACTTGGAAGAGGTTGGCTCCAGGCCGCAACGGGCCCAAGAAGCGGTGGCAGTAGAACATGTGCACGATTGCGCACGTTTTCTCGTGTCCTGACACACCCGGCCTTGGCCCAGAAATGTGGAAGCGGAATGTGCTCCGAGGTGAGAGCCGCATCGGGCAGTTCCTGAGATTTCCTGAGTCTTGGAGCCAAAGGGTCCGGTTCCTATGCTCGTTCAGTGCATGTCAGCCAGGGAAAAGCGAGTGCAAACCGGTTCTGAGCTTCTATCTCATACCGTCTGCGAGCGGAGCTGCGTGCCAAGCTGCACCGTGCTCTGACCCGATGGAACTTAGGAACCCAAAAAGGACATAAGCATAAGCATTTTGTAGGGATATCCCTACCTTATTGGGCTTCATTATAAGGGGGTGTAAAGGGGATATCCCTATCCTAATTTTTGCTTGCCCTAGGAACATACCGCTCGTGATGCTGCCAGCCGTTTCAAGCGCTTCTTGTCTCTTCCAAGTTGGAGCTAGTCCCGGCTCTTGCGGCTGCGAGAGCAGAAGGACAGCCTTTCACGGTCCTGGAGTCGTTGTGTGCCTGTGTGTCGGTCAGAGTCCGTGTCTCTCTCTCTCTCTCTGTTTCTCTCTGTCTCTCTTGACTTGGGGCTTGCGCTGGGGCTTGCGCTGGCAAGGGCCCGCCAGAACGTGATGGCGGCTGCTGTTGGCTGCGCTTAGCTTGGAAAGCAGAGACTTCAGAATCCGAGATCAGCCGAAACGAAGCAGAGCCTTCTGAGGCGAGTCTCCAAGATCCCCGCAAAGCCCAGGGCATTATGCCGCTGGCTTTGCCATGGGCCTGAACGAGCACTCCCGGCACGGCTTTGACTGACGGCTTGACTTCTCTCCTCGGTTCCTGGCTCGGTGAGCCCCGCTCCATGCCCAGGCCCAGGCCTGCTCTTTGGCGCAGCCAAGCAGTCCCATTTTTTTTTTTTTGCAGTTTTTCCCCTAGGCGTAAGTTTCCTCGGATGCCATGCCAGAGGTCCATCTTGTAGACTGTTGACCTGAGTGGGGTAGCTTTCGCGCTCATAAAGTTCTTTGGTGTTCGGTTCATTGCGGCTTAGACGGGGGAGCCTCAAAAATGTGGATCCCGAGCTATCGAGCTATCCCGTTTTGGTTGACGGTTGAAAAGACGGAACTTCGGAGAAAGGAAGAGCTCTTGAGTCACTTGATGCGTATGATACTGGATTTCTTGTGCCAGATTTGGGCTCATGATGCTGGCTTTCTTGTGCGGAATTTGGGGCCTTTATCACGCTGTGGTGTTCCTGTGGAACCTCGTGCCCGTGGCTTACCTCGGTGATGCGCACCGTCGCATCCTTCTGCTATGTTGTAGGGGCTTTCGTCCCCCCCGTTTACCTGGGCGCAAGTTTTGAGGATGTCTTTGGGCGCACGCTTGCGACAATGCTCCCAGGAACACCTGCGGACGGCTTCCTTGCCGCAACAGCCTGACTGCTGTAGCGTCTGTAGCCAGGTCCACCTACGGGAACGTTGCTTGCAGCTCAGGAATTTGCCCAGTTAACCAGATCTTTAGGAAGCAGAATTCTTGTCCAGATTGTGTTGTCTCGGAACTCCGAGTTTGGCTCCCCTCGCGGCGGGTCTACAGACAGGCGTGGGTCGGCTTCCATACCGAAGTGTTAGATGTCCAGACGATGACACACCAGGCGGTGCATAACCATCGATGTGGATGCAGGGACCGGCTTTCACCGAGGCCATCAGATCCACGACGTGGTGAAAGTTGCATAGTCTGTGGCCTTCGGAAAGCATCGCCCTCCCTGCTTGCAGGCCGCAGCCCATCTCCTTTGCCTGCCAGTCCCGGAACAAAGCAACTGTCTGAGAAAGCGTGCATACATCTCGGCGTCTGCTGTTGGTTGGTTGAGCGTTTAGGGAGTCTAGGGTTTAGGGTCTGCTGTTGGTTGACAGTCGGACAGTGGCAGTGGACAGGTTTGAGAGGCTGCGCACGCTGCAGGCGCGGTGCGATTGGGCCGAAGCATCTTTGCTGCTGCTTGCCCATGGTCGGATTTCATTGTTCTCTTCGCGAGGCCCTGGACCATCCGTATTTGGATTTCTCCTTGGACGTGCTCCCATGCCGGAGGCACCATCTGCATTTGATTTCCGCTCGGTCGTAGCGTACACTTCAAACATGGGCTAGAAGGCAGGACTCAAGGTGAGCTTCTGTCTCCAGTGCCATGACATGTCCATGCTGTGAGGCATTCTCCTGCACCTGTCAGACATGATCCTCGAAATGAAATCCTCCAAGCGCTCGATGCTTACGAGTCCGAGCCTCAGCTCGTGTCGCACCATTGGAATCACACTGAGAAGTGGGACTGTAGGAGAGTTCGAGAGGGTTTTCTGAGACTTGTGCTTCCCGGTTGACAGGCACACGGCAGTCCTCGGTCGACGAGCTCCAGCCAAAGCATGAGCTGAAATGCCTTCGCCGTCTATGAACATCCAGCTTGCTCACATGAGGCACCTCTGCCACGTCATCACAGAGGCCCTCCAAGCTCAGGAAGGCTCGGACCTGCCGCTGTTTGAAGCAGGCGAGGTTGAGACAGCTTCCTTATCCCCGCGGAGACCTCCGGTGCCACGCCCGCGTCTCAGCTCACCGATGACCAATAACATTGGTCAACATCGTCAGCGCATGTTTGACGCACTCAGGCTTCGCTGTTCGGGATGCCCAGGACAGCCAGTGAGCCGCAGAGACTCGACATTTGTTGCAGATTGCATTCTTCCAGATCCCTCGCGTGCACTCGTATTGGGTTAGAGGTACTCAGGCGCTGCAATGGAGACCGTGAACAGTGGCAAACTTGCTGCCGGAGTCTTTCCGGCTAGATCCTGCTAGACCAACCACCCAGAAACATCAATAAAGTGGCTGAAGGTGCGTAGTTTTGTGTGCCTGAAGCCACGGTGTAGCTGTCATGAGGCTGGCAAGGATGATCCGAAGAAGGCAATGAACAGAAGCATGCGCCGTGGCGCGCCAAGCTTGTCAGAGCAAAGCTTTGTGAAAGCGGAAGGAGTGCCAGATGCACATCTGAGGCTTGGACACTGCTGCTGCTAAACTGGAGAAAGTCGCAAAGGCGGCGAAGTCTATTGCATGACCCATGAACCAATCAACGCACGTTGTCGTGGAAAAGATGTTTAGCCGTGCATTCATTCATGTCCTCTCGAGTGCCTTGCGACAGGCTTTGGTAGAGGAAGCACAGAGACAGCCTTTGGCCTGGCACATTCCGACGTCTAGATTCCTTTTGATAGTCAGAGCTGACTCAGATGACTTGACTGAGCCGAGGTCCTTGAAGCGAGTTGAATGAACTGGTGGACATGCCGAATGCTCAGTGTCTGTTCGAGAGGGCCCATGCCCATGCCCATGCCGACGGCTGCAGCAGCTTGAAGTTACCTGCGACCAACGTCTGATAGATTTTCTGTTCGCCAGCTGCTCGATCTTTTGCAACTCCACGTTCTTGCCATCGGTCGCCGCCTTCCCCCTCTCTAAAACACAGTTTTGTGCCTGTGTTGAGATCGTTTGCAGCAAACTGGCGTCATGATCCAAGGGCCCCTAGCGGCCCCCTAGCCGGCCCTGGCCCACTAGTGCAACTCTGCCTGCATGTTTGCGCGTGGACCAGGTGGGATGCAGGTCGCCAAAGGCCACAGACTTCAAGATGCTCCTTCCGTGTGGTGCGACGCGTTTGGCGACCGCTTCGCCTCCTCAGGCGTCTGCTTTCCAAGCACAAGAGTCTCAGCCGGAGGCTGAGTTTCGGAAACCAGGAAGCTCCATGGGGTCTTTCTCCAGTCTGTGAAACTCTGTGACTGAGAGACTCACTGGGAAACCTGTGCTTTGCTCTCGAAGTCTGTTCGCCTTTGGCCCTGCTGTAATGTATCGGCCGAGCAGTTGGAAAAGGTTGGGACGAGTTACAAATAGGTTCTTGTCTGGAGACCATGAGGCGTTGCTATGAATGCGTCGATGAGGTTCTTTGCTGGCTTCTCGGATCATCTGTGGCAAGTTGGAAGGGCGCGAAGCTTTCGCTGTACGCTGTCTGTGCTCAGGACCTTGTCGCACTACTAGTAGCTTTCTCCTAGTCCATAGCTGTTATTTGCCACCGAGCTACTTCTCACCGGGGCAGCTGCAAAAGGACAACTACCACACTGACTGTTGAGGGAACGAGCCGAAACGGCAGGTTTTGCAGCTTCTTACCGGTGCGCTTGGTGAGCGTAGGTGCCAGACCCTGATTCCAAAGACTGTCACATTTCTCACACGAATTAGGAAGTCATCCAAGGCTTCCCCAGCAAAGCCGTTTGCCATTGTGTCGTGTTGTGCGAATCAGACGTTAGGGGCCACTCCTTTCAATTCGTGCGCTTCAGTTGTTCCCATCGCTGCAACTGACAGTGCAGTTCAAAGGGAAGGGATGCTTCCAGGGATCCTGTGGACCGGCATGCAGCTTCTGACATCATGTACATCCTTCAGCCGGTCGAGTTTATGTTTAGTCTGTGTCAGCGAGATTCGCCGCCGGACCCTTTTTCTCAGCATGTCACTTCCCGTTAACAACATCGTGGCGGTATGTGCGCCAGAGCACCGTTTGTCTTTACAGATTTCCAGAACTCAACAGCTTGCATGTATCATATATGAGCAGCAGAACTCTGAAGAGTAGGAAGACGGACTACTTTACCTTCGAAGGGTTGCAAGCATACAAAGTGGGCGAGAGTACACGAAGCCGACGCGGCTCCATGCGGCGGCTCCGCGTGCTTTCCAGAGGCCGGTCGATGGGATCCGCCTTGCAGTTGGCGGCTCCAGCAGTTGACTCTGAGAAGGAGTGATCCAGAATCGCTTGTCGCCACTGAGTGTGACGGGGCCCGGGCCTTGGGCAAGAAGCCTGAAGGTTGCTGAGTTTGCACTGAATCACGATGCAAGCGCAGCTGATTCTGAAGCACATGTTGTTTTCTTAGGGCAGCGGAAGTTTCATACCATGTGTAGCTAGCTGTTCTGCTCGACGTTGACTGTCATGGCCTTTGCTCCTCCAGTGCTCCGCCACCTTTGCTGCTGGCTCCTAGTGAAAGCGGCTGACAGTGGCCGTTGGATTCAAGCTGTGTGTGGGATTGCTTGAGAAACACGAATGCACATCGCCGTGCCCCAGTCAACAGAGGGCCTGGGGAGGGCCAAACGCGTCTGCCCCCCAAACCACACACAACTTGTGTGACATGACTTGGACGTCGCTTGTCAGTAGCCCCGCCATCGTCAGGAAGTGCTTGGGCATAGATGGTGTTCTACATGTGCTCCCAGTTTTCCTGACTCTGAGGCATGAAGCTTCGCCTCAGCGGCTACAGCGCCCGATCGCAGTGCATGGGACCCAATGCTTGTCACATGGAGGCATGCAGTCTCTTTTCCTTTGTTCAGGCTGAGCCTAAGCCATCCCAAACCCCAAACCCCTAATAGAGAAAGACACGTCTTCGAAAGAAATGCAGATCGTTTCTGTCATTTCCCAGGCTTCTTCGAGCGAGCAGCTCGGACTCCAAGCTTCGCACTGAGCCAACCTGTCAATTGGTCAATCTTGTCGCAGCTTCCAGGTACCCCTATAAGGCTGTTTAAAAATTTACACCTGAGCACTTGGTTTTGCAGGAAGACAGAGCAGCAGACCACAGCGTCTCCGCAGCACCACTTCCGCGATCTGTATGAGGTGTGCTTTGGGAGGTAGCTGTGACGCCCCGTGTCACGTGCTCGTTGCTCAGGGGTCCGCCCGACAGATGCACACACAGATGGAAAGGCTGGCCAAGGCGACGGAGCCGCAGAGTTTTTGAGAGACCATGCTCGCTGGGGCTCTGAGATGACCCGGAACGTGCAGCTCTCCTACCGCGTGATGATGGTCGGCCTCGGCCTCGGGAGCTGTGCGCGGAGACAGTGCGGAGCCGTGCCTTCTGCGACCTCCCCCTCGCTTTGCTCTCGCCGTCGTCGCCCGCCACACCGTGGCCGCATTTCACATTCTACGCATGTCTCCGCTCGCCGCTCGTTGCCTTCTCGAGGAGGCAGCGCAGTGGCCGTCGGTATCGGCTACGTTGTCATCAACTGGCAAGCAGCCCCAGAGTTGGAGCAGGGGGCGCAGTGGTCACCCCACTGCGACGAGGACAATTCTTCGCTCACACGTCTCCCAGGAGTCAGCAGAGGCCGGTCGTCAGAAAGTCTAAGCTCCGCCTTGGCACAGCCTTCAGAGCAGCCCAAACAGATGCAAGCTGCGAGGTGGTGTCCCAGACAATGAGGGACGCGCAGGTACAGTTCACTGCTCGGGAATTCTCGAAGGAGAATGTGATGATCAATGATGAACGTGACTGAAGCCTCTGTTCATGTAGTCCTTGTTTTTTGCAGAGTGAGGAGTTGCTCAACCAGCTGCTGCACGACGAAGAAATCGCCACGACTGTAGCGTCCTGGACGCCGGTTCGCCTCAGACTTCCCAGATGCAATGTAAGGTGTGTAGTGCATGTTTAACATCGCAGATTGAAACCTGATACTGCTCGTGCCACAGGGTTGCATATGTTGGGGAAACGGCAGCTAGTATAGCTAGTGCAATGCATCACAACCGCATGCCTGCGCATCTTTGCGATTATACATGCCGACGGACTGCGCAAGGACTTTGCGCCTTCTGGCCTCCATACAGGAGGAAATTGGAGCGTTGTTTGTCCGCATCCTTCAGCAGGACCAGGTAGGCGCAATCAGGTTCTGCAGGTCGAGTTCATGCAGTTCAACGGCTTTTCGGTTTGCAGGTTGTGGACGAAGTTAACCGGCTAGCAGACAAGCTCGTGGCTTACCTCTGTGCAAGTCAGACGATACAGGACTGGATGTGCTTTCAAGTCAGAGTCACTTCCTCGCAGTCCAGCCATAGCAGATGCGGCGCTTGGCACGTGAAGCTTCAGCTTAATGCCCGAGAAGCGTGGATTCGCGGATAGGGCCCCATGGATTTCGCAGAACCGCTGATTCCTTTGGCAGAGACACGCAGCGAGCAAACAGCCAGGAGAGTCGCGTGGGCGCAGGCTATCAGCTGCAATTTGTTTTTTCGCTTGTCGTAGTTTTCGCGGATTTCGGGTTCGGCGGGATTTCAGAGAATTTTGCACTGGCACCGCAGCCTTGGTGCTTTGCAGGGCTTGGCCTTGACCGGCCTCCTTGTTTGCGTGGCCCAGCTTGCGGGGCTGGCCGCACCAGAGCTCGCAGGCCCGGCAATTCAGCCTACTGGTAGCGGCCGTCTTGGCTTTGAGGAGCTTCGGAGATGCAGTGCACCATGTTTGGCTCTCTTGGCCGAAGCGCAGGCGCCCCGCTGGTGCTTGCGAGTGGACCTGTGGGTCTCGGCGGCTACCTGGGCTCCTTGGGCACATTCCTGAGGCAATATTATGACAGCCTTGTGCCTTATGTCGCTTGGAGGCAACAGGAACTGTCTCAGTCTCCGCAGTTCAGACGATCTGTGGGGGAGCCTCTGTGCGTCCATCTGAGGTTTGGCTCATCAACTACTGCGGCATTGTCCTCTTTGTGCTGTTATTTGTGATGTCTTTCCTCAACCATGCCAAGGATAAATACTTGAAGCGGGGTGTTCTGCGGTAGTCACGAAATCATCAATGAAGAATCAGTGAGTTCAAGCCGCATTCTGAACAGGATTTCTCCGGATTTGTGCCTTGCCTGAAGCCCTAGCTAAACTGCATAACTGCACATATTGGAACTGTTGCGTAGTATTGATGATTTTCGGAGACGTCCTTGAGGTGAAGATGATGGAAGCTTTTGGCCTGCCATGCCCGGCAGTCATGGCTCTTGGGGGCCTCTTCAGCCTCCTCGCGGGCTCCTTGTGCTACCTCACAGGCCGACGGCCTCCAGTTACTCGGGTTCTCAGAGCCTGTTTGGGGGGAAGGGACCCGGATCGGACTGTCAGGCATCCCCGTCTTAATGGAGTGGGGTGCAGAGTTCCTGCTGATGTTCCTGATGCTTGGCGTTAACCTGTGCCACAATGAAAGCAGAAGAGTGTTGCATCTAACGATCAGGCAGTCTTGCTGGTGTGGCTGACGTTTAGCTGCGTGTCTGCGGAGGATTGCTTCAACCTACTTCGGACACTACAAGCCCTGGAAACAGTCCAAAGACATGAGCCACTTTATCATGATTCTGAAGAATATCGGTCTTTCCGGTCACTGTTTGCTCACGATTGGGTTCGAGGTGCCTGAAATCGGCAAAGATGGGACCCCCCTTGGCCTGCACGGAGCACTTGGATCTGTCGGAGCTTTCATCGGCAAGATCTACCTTTTTTCCCGGCCTTATTCGTTTATCTTCAAGTACACAGGCCTTGTCCTCTTCGTGGTGCCCTTCGTACTGTCATTTCTGAATCATGCGAAGGACACCAAGCAGTTTGTACCGGCCTCGGTTGATTGTGATTTGTTCCCGGCTTTTCTGCTAGCCTTGAGCGGTCTGGAATTTAGGACACTTGGGGAGTCCTCGACAGGTTGGAATGATCATGGGCTTCGGCTTTGGCCGCACGACGGCGACTGCCCTTGCCGTCTTCACCCTGATCCTCCTATCGGTTTCATCGATCTTCTATGTGAGCGGTATCCCTGTGTTGATGGAGCTTGGAGCAGAAGGCCTCTTCACGTTCCTCCTCTTTGCCACCTACTTCGGCCATCTGAAGCCCTACCTGCAGTCAGGACCGTGGATGCCTCTGGGTTAGTGATGCTACGTCCGCTACAGATTACCGGAGCATGTCCCAAACACCCACAAACTACCAATCACTGCTCGCTCGACCGCGGAGAACGAGCCCTCAGACTCGGAGGCAGAACCGCCGTTGTCTGGCAAACCAAACACAAGACCATCCGAATACTTTGTAGAAGGGTTCTCTTTGAGGGGTTTGGGAGTTAAGGGTTTAACGCCTTCCCGAGCGTTCACAACAGTCCCTTCATCCGTTCTGTCGCGCATCTGTCATCGTGTCGGGGCCGCGCCGCTTCCAACATCTTCTTGGTCCGTCTTGATGTCGTTTCTCTTGCTTGCTGATTTCGTGTCTTCATGCCTTTTGTCCCGGTTTGTGTCACTGTGTCCTGTTTCGTGACCTTCCTCGGCGTTTTTTGCGGTTTGCATGGTGTGTCCTCGTGTATTCTGTCTCAGGCCGCATGCTGATGTGGTGTCTCGTGCCGTGGCATCCTGTCTAGATTATTCGTGTCGCGTGCTGTGGTGCCCTGTCATCGTGTCGAGTAAGCGTTTCTCATGTTCACGTGTGTGTGTGTGTGTCCTCCTTTCGTGTCCTGTGTCTCTCTCGCATCTCGGTACAAGAGGAGCGAAGTGTGTACAAACCTTTCTACTGATGTACTGCTATCGTGTAGATTTGATGTTCCGTCGAGGACGAGCTCAGTGCTCCCATGACGGTCGAGAGTTTTTTCAACCGAGCTCGGTTTGTCAATCATGTGTCTTGCTGCGCACCGACTGCGAGGAGACATGGGGCATTTCCTCAACATTCTAAAGAATGTCTCCCTGGCTGGGGCCTGCCTGATGACAATGGGCGTCGTGATTCCTCAGATTGGGCCATCTTGAGGCAATGCGTTTGTCAGGTGCGCCCAAAGGTTGACAGCACAAGACCTGTCACGAGGTGATCCATGCTGGCTGCAAGCCCACTCAATTGAAAGCGATGGCAAAGCCTGTGCCCTCGGGGCACACGTGACCTCGTTCGCGTCTGAAAAAGTAAGCGAGGAATCGGTGCATAATGTGTCAACAGTACATGTGTTCGGAACTCGGTGAGAAACAGTGTTCCTGTGCGCCTACGGGCTACGGCTAGGACCGTTCACACACATTCACGCACGTCCACCCGGCTGGTTGGTGTAGCTCGTGGACCGCGCGCACACACACAATCGGCAATCGGGCAAGCAGGGTTTGCAACATTCTTTCTTCATTGGTTCATAATATATATCCCGGGCCTTTTTCGGGTGCCGTGTTGGTTCAAGCCTTCCCGGCTCCAGGGTTTCATAGCATGTCGAAGACAAGCAGTTTGTTCAGAGCGCTTCTGATTCTGCTGGCAGCAGATACTCCAGCTGGCAGCGGATCAGGGGCCGCCGTGTGCCCTTGCATCAACAGCAGCTCACCTCTGTACAGCGCCTACCAGTCTGCTCTGGTCGCAGGAGGGCTCCCCGCAACCTTCGGCTTGTCAGGCTGTGCTGCTCATGACTCCAACGTGTCGATGTTCGGTTGCGCAACCAATGCCTTGCCCTTCTGCTTAAACCCGTGGTGCTATGTTGACATGGACTTGTGCCCGGAGAACAGAGAGCTATGTGAGGCCGCGGGTGGTATGTTAGGCAGCCAGGTGTCTCCCCATTGCCGCACCAGAAACCACAACCCCGGCGGCACCAACATCTTGAACCTCTCCGAGCACTACAGCTATGAGACCTGCGGGTCTCGGAACGTCTACGACACATCGGAACTGCTAGAGCCCGTTGCTGGGCGCACCATCCGGGCTGCAGCTGCCGCATGGGCACCGTGGGTTGTCAAACGAAGGAACCTCAGAAACGAGGACGTTTGGGGCGGCCACTCGACTCACGGTTTGGACGAAGCTTGCAGATCGAATCTTTGTGTGGGGGGGGGGGGGGTTTCAAGCTCCCTATGTTCGAAACTTGGACGCCCACTCAGGTCCTTCCTTCGACTTCTTCAAGACATCCTTGGAATTGTTTCACCCGGAGCCTGTGATCAAGATCATTCCTGGATGGGCCACAGCAGCATCCAGGGCCAAATTTCCAGAGAGTTCCTACACTGCCTGTGTGCACGACGTGGCAGTCGGCAACTTCGATATTTGTCTTGCTGATCTTTGGCTCACACCACAGAGGAACCAGCTGGTCACCTTCCTGCCAGCCGTGAGGCGGGGCCGTCTTAGGGCCGAGGGATGCTGTCAAGAATAAAGGGGAGGGTATAGCTTCAATCCTCCTGTGCCAGGCAGGACTACTTCTATTTGGTCGTCAAGAAGGACACATACGTGGAAGTCGAGTTAACCATCTGGGAACGTCTGTCGAAGCCTTTCAGCCCCTTTACACCAGGTGCCTGGCTGGGAATCGTGGGCTTTCTTTGCATCATGTCGGTGCTCTTGTGGCTCCGGCAAGTGTGCGAGACAGGCTGCCACGGAGATGTCAAGACGCTCTGCAAAGACAACGTCGTAGCAATGCTACGCTCGCTTTTCTTCGTCTGGCACGATTTTCTTCTCGGCCAGAGTAGCATGGACGTAGAGACGGGTCCAGTGCGACAGATTTTCAGCCTAGCGCTGGCTTTCTTCATCCTCATCACATTGGCAAGCTACACCGCTAGCTTGGCCACTGGCCTCGTGGTCCAAACTCCCCCTGACGGCACCATTAACTCCATCGATGATGCCATCAAACTTGGCATGAGAATCTGTGCTCCCTCGTCCCTTCTGGACACGTTCTCGTCTGTTTACCGAGACGCGTCGTTTGTAGGCGACGAGATCCAGTTTCTTCCAAGATTGCTTCACAGGGGTCAGTGTGACGTAATGGTGCTGTCGCAGGATGTCATTCAGACTCTCTTTGCTGGGAAGGTTCGAGAACAGGATTGTGCAGACTTTCGGGCAGGGCGGATCACGCAGGAGGAAGCCCAATGCAGGGAGGGAGACATGAAGCGTGATTGCGAGTTCAGCAGAGTTGGCGATCTTCTCTGGAGCGTGCCACTGTCTTTTCCCGTAAGCGAAGAGCTGGCGCATACTTTCTCTTGGTCCTTCACGGCTGCCACCACACGCGGTGTCATGGAGGACGCAAAGAGAATGAACGCCCAGCTCTTTTCGCAGTCCATTTGTGAGGACGAGGAGAGTGCCAGCGAATCCCTGGCATTGACATTCGACAATATGAGTGGTTCAATGATCATCTCTTTCTTCATTATGCTGATTGGATTTGTCGTCATGGCAGCCCGGCATTTCTACCGTCAGCAGGCCGCAAGCAGTGCCGAAAACGAAGGATCACCCGATGATGGCGAGCTCAAGCGGAACGTTTGATCATGATCGCCTGAGGCCCATGAACAGGATTGAAAAGCAGGCCAAGGTGCCACTGGGCATCGTCTCGTCTCTGCAAAACTCGCGACGAAGAGGCCAAATCCCTGAAGGGGACAGGCGGATAGAATTGGAATCGCCTTTGTGCCATGCGTTGTTCGCAGTAAATGCTGTGCGAGAAGTCAGACAGTATTCTGCCACTCTGCAAGGCGCAAGCATGAAGCACTTACTGTGTCGGTGCGACGCTCTCGCAGGGTTTTGGGGTGGCAGGAGCGTGTCGGTGGCCTACTCGTAGACGCGATCAACCTCCAGGCTCCTCGGCTCCTCGATAGATGCTAAAGCCTAAAGCCGAAGTGACCCTGGCCATTGCAGTCCTCGCGGGATGCTGCTGCCGTCTGGGCTTATGACCTGGTCATGCGCCAGGAGAGCCGTGTTACGCTGTCAGACCGTGTCAGACCTGTCAAAGTGCCACCGAGTGCCAGGACGTCACCGAAGGCTTCCGAGACCTGGTGGTGGCGGCTCTCCAGTGAAGTCCTCGTGGCTGGGCTAGGTCACTTGCCATGCGTCCAGATGTTAGAAAGGATGGATGCAGTGGTGGAGGAGGCGCAGCAATTGGCGGTGCAGGCGAGTCTTTGTCTGCATGGCATGGCGTGTGCAGTATCTTCTGCCTTCGGCCGAGGTGGTGAACAGAGTCCTTTCAGACGAAGGCACCATTTTGGAGGCCGGGTTTGCCTCCAAGTGAGAGTCGGAGTGTCTGGTTGTGTCGGTCAGTTGGAGGCCAAGAAGGTGCTTCGCGACGCCCTGGAAGACCAGGAGTTGCGCAACTCCGCCAAGGCCGAAAGCGCCCGACTCCCCGCCCGCTGAATGGAAGCCGTCTGCAGGAATCGCTTTGGAGCATCGTGATCCCCTGGGGCTCCAGATCAAGCCTTGGGCCTTGGATCTTGTGGGCATCATCGGGCATCCGTCAGAGCCACAAGGCCCCTGCCGTTGCTGTGAGGCCCCGATGAAGTCAAACGTGCAGTGCGGTTAGCAGAGGCCAGGGTGAACATCGGCATGCCACTTTATGCCACTTATGCAGCCTCCCACTGCCGTCTAATCCGTCGTTCGCGCCCTGCATTTTCACAGGAGCTGGCCTCCCTCCCTGCCCTCAATGACGACGAGCGCGCAAGCCTTCGGTTGGTGCCCTTGAGGCTGGGTGTTTGGAATGGCGCAGTCTGTTGAGCACAGGTCCTTGCAGGTGCGGCTGAAAGCCGAGGGAAGGAAGGGCCGGGGCCCCCGGTGCTTGCCACACTCATGACAGCCTATGGGAGTTTTGGGAGCTTAGGTGCCCGAGCAGAGAAGAGGACATCGCTGAAGGTGACGTCGTCCCCTGCGTTTGCGACTGCGACCCGAGGACCGAACCGGCTTCGGAGGCCTTGGATCAGCTCGGCTGCAGCGCTTCGCGGCGCTTCGCGGCGCCTCGCGGCGCTTCGCAGGCTCCGCCTCCGGCCTCGGGGGTCTCAGAGGCCAAAGAAGCCGAGCAGGTTCCCGAGGAAACGAAGGAGAAGCAGGCCCCAACTGCCCTTGGATCTTCCGCAAAGCACCGCCGCAGCCGCAGCCGCCTCGCACAGGCGCGGCCGCTTGAACTGACGACGCAGCCGCTCAAGGCACTGAAGGCATCAGAGGCTCCTGCAGGATCTTCAGGCGCGAGTCGCGAGGGTGGGGAATCGTAGGTGGTGTGTATAGCTTTGTCCCACAGGGGTTTCAGCATATTTCGGCTTTTGGGAAGGCGAAGACACCTCGCCAAAGGCATCGGAAAAGGATAGGCGGATAGGATCGTGCACGACCCAACGTCATCATCTCTGTGCAGGTCCAAGAGAAAGTGGCAGAGGGTGTTTGGTCACCGTGTCCAGAGGACAGCTGACGTTGCTCAGCACGGGATCAAGAAACCAAGGGGTAGCAGAAGCCTGGACAGGACGTGCGCAAGGCTGAAGACCAGCAAGCGCCGTGAGATGCCGTGAGTGACGAGCCCAGACCAGAGGAGTTCGCAGTGCTGGCCGGGGCCAGGCACACTGCCGTGGCTAGAGGCAGCCAAAGTGCGCAAACCGAGCCCAAAGCAGGCAGAGCGAAGGATCGTAGGTGACCGCACAAGGCCCAACGCCTTGCGGAGGTCCGAGATAGTTTTTAAAGACTCGCATGTCTGAGCGAACACTTGTAGCTAGTAGGATCTGATGCGCAGGGTTAGGATGCCGGGAAATGCCGACCCGGATCCTCCAAGCAGGAAGCCCAAAGCCCGGATCTCCGGACAGCATCCTTCCGCAGCCGGGGCCCAGGTTGCATCTGCAACATAGATTCCGAAACGGTTATAACAAGACCATGATGTTGCAAAGCTTGATCAGCCCCAGCTTGGCAAACAGCGGAGGCAAAAGGTATGGGCTCTACAAACACAGACTCGGCATGATTTGAGCATTGATCAATCGTGGCTGGAGGCCCAGGATTTTACGTGGCGCTTGCAAGAAACATGATTTTACAGAGCCTGTACAAACTGGTTTAGAACAGTGCCACACGGGTAGGATCGCCAGCCAGCGAGTGATTTTCACTGCTCCGAGCAATGCTGGCTGAACGCAATGACGATGACTTCGACATGCTTGAAAGGCGATTTGAGCAAAAGTACGAGGTTCCGGACTGGCTGCCACGGTGAAGAAAGTTGCGACGGTGCTCTGTCCCGGTAGGTCACTGAGCCCAAGGTTCTCGGAGAAGGAACCTACGGCAAGGCCACATGCACTGAAACGGCACTCTCCAAGTGAGCCGACGCGAGTCCCAAGTAAGTGCCAGGTTTACAAGGCAGTCAGCCGCATCAGCAACCAGGCCGCCGCATACAGAGTTGTCACTTGTTCACTGATCGGCCCATGCAGGTAGTTGCGATCAAGAGGATCAAGCTCAACCCCGATGATGATGAGGGTGTACCGCTAGGGTCTTATCGGTGTCCCAGCCGACACTGTCACCCACTTCTACGGAACACATGTTTTGGGTGCCTGACTACTGCCTGTCAATCGCATCGGCCCAGGAGTACTGCGCTGCGCGAGGTGGCCGTACTGAAGGACTTATCTGTATTGTGGCTGCGGCCCTGTCTTGGTCCAACAACTCTTACTTCAGAGAGAGCAACGAGCAGTGGGACCGCTGAAGATACGAGCGATCAGCTCAGGGCAAGTTTAGACCATAACAGGACTTTCAGACCGTTGCTCCTGTTGCGTGAAGCTTGCTGCCTTCAGCAAGTGCAGGAGCTGGACAGTGAGTATGTGGTGAAGCTGTTTGAGGCATCAAAGGTACTGATCGCAGCAGGGAAGAGGTGACAGCTGTTGAAGGTGGTGAACATGCAACGTGTGACGGAGACGGCTTCAAGCAGTTCCTTGCTTTCCTCGTTTTTCGCCACCTCCTCCTCCTCCTCCTGATGCATTGCCGTCGTCGTCCTGCTTATCATCATCATCATCGTCGTCATCAGCATCATCGGCATCATCAGCTGAGAGTTGAGAAACCGCGCCCGCTCTTCCCGTAGCTGGGGATTGTCCAACTCGTTTGCATCGCATGATGGGCAGGTGTTCTGCTCTCCGAGCAAGCTCGTGCTCGTTTTCGAGCTCATGGAGAACGATCTTAGAAAGTGCCCTGCCAAGCAGTACAAGCTGGAGTCGGCTGGACTGAGGACGCTTCTGGTCACGTGCAAGGTACATGAAGCAAGTGGGAGGAAAGATTCCCTCGTGCTTGGCTGAGTTCGTTTGCCTCCACAGCCCTAAACATGCCACTCCTGCTGTTCGCAGGCATCATGTGAAGAGCCTCTGCTGGCAGATGGTGAAAGGTCTAGAGATTTGCCACGTGCCCCGGCCATGAAGCCAGGTGAGCTCTTCTTAATACCGGAAGCTCAGAGCGCATGCCCGAGGCCAACCGCATCATACATCGCGACATCAAGCCCTTTCCTCTGCTGGTTCAAGGTGTTGTCAGCACTCGCACTCTGCTCACTGCAAGGCCGCAGAACCTCTTGATCGATGCGAACCACAGATTGAAGCTAGCGGACTTTGGCCTCGCTCGGGCCTTCATGGCCCAAGCCCCGGAGTCCCGGAGCCTGGGGATCCTCTCCGGCCCTTTGACGCCCAGGTTCCTATACCAAAATACACCCACGAGGCAGGAACACGCAGGGATCCTGGGGCTCCGTTGTCTGCTTTGCCAAGGTGGTCACGGTCTGGTACCGCGCGCCGGAGATCCTCCTGGGCTCGGCCTCGTCCTGAGGTTTAATTAGGGGGCCGGTCTCGTCACGGCGGGCGGATCACCAGGCTATATCTCTAAGGTTTCCGTGCAAGCGTACGAGGGCAAAAAGGAAGAAAACCCTTGACAAAGGATACGTGCTTTTCTGCACGGAGCCCAACCATGTGCAGGGACAGCTCTTGCAGTAACGCTTGCAGTAGCCTGAAGAATGGCTCTCTTTTGAGGATAGACCTGTAAGAGTCGCAAAAGAGTCGCTGCACAGGGCGCCTACAGCATCGCGGTTGACATGTGGGCAGTGGGTTGCGTTTTCGCCGAAATGGCGACCGGCATGGGACCTACGTTGTTGGACCATTTCTGATATGCCGAACTTAGTACCCCAGGTGGCCCCTTGTTTCAGGGAGATTCTGAGATTGATACGATCTTCAAGGCCCATGGCACATTCACATAGCACTTTCTGCGGAGATGCAGCGGGTGGCAGCGCCTTGTGAGATCTTCCAGAAGCTGGGCACACCGAATGAGATGACTTGGCCTGGAGTTCAGGATCTTCCAAAGTCACACTCCCGGTAAAATCGACGCTCTCTGCGATCCGCTTCATCCCGTGCATGCTGAGTTTCAAACCAAGCTTTCCCCAATGGAGACACAAGGGACGCGACCTCGGCCTTTGCGGGGCAATCCTGTTGCCGTTCTGATGGGCAATTGTCTGTATGGACGTGTGGACCAGAAAGTACGGTTTCCTTGTTGAGGCTGGGCCAACATCCGCCAAGGCAAGACACAGGAGAAGGCACGAAGCCGTGCCAGCGGTCAAATGAAAACTGGAAGTTCAGCGACGAACCTACCAGTAACTAAAGCCCAGCTCAGCACAGTGAAGACTAAACTACGAGGAGTGCGGTGCAACTATGAAGCTTGCTTGCCTCAAAAGGTTGGTGAGTGTGGTATTGATCTTCTGGAGAAATTCCTGGCCTATGCCCCCAAGCAGCGATTGCTCCTTGTCTAAATGTGCAGAGCAGAAACATCTAGAATCCTTCAGGATTTAGCGAGTTTAGGGTTTTATAAACCTAGGGTTAAGGGCTTCTGAATTTCTAAACCCTCTAGGCTGTGAAATCACTCGGCCAAGGAGTGCGCGGAAAGGGCTGCAGCACCCGTACCTGGCAGATGCCGGGCCTTAATTGCCATGCATCGAAAGCTTGTCGCGTGTCAAGCGCGTATTGGCTTCTTAATTCAATGGTTCGTGCAGTGGGGGCGGCACTTGCTGCAATTAATCTGAAAAGGGTTGAATATCCAAGAGCCATGGTGGCCATGGTGCACTTTTACTCGAACATGGTACTCGGACATCCTGAAATCGAACTTCCTCCTTTCGGCTTGTGTTGCACATGAGATTTGCCCCTCTCCCATTCAGCTGGTCTGACTAGTGATCACTGCGAGTCGTGGACAGGTGTGCTGAACATATGGCAAGCCCCTAGTGTCGTCTGCGTCTGCGACTTGCGAGTGCTCAGTTGTTTTTCAGCGCTGGGCTTGTGCAGGGGACATTGCACATTACATGCCGAAGCCAGTCACGAAAACAGAGTTGCCAGCCAATCTTGCACATGCATGACTTGTCAGGAGCTGGTACAAGCGACTTGGTGCACTCTGCATTAAGACTCAGGACGTGTCAGGCGGTTGTTGCTCAAATGATGTTCGTCTCAAAATACCAGGCAGACCTCATTATGCTAAAGTAGCCTCCCCAGCGACCGCTGTAACATCTCTACACGTACCTGTAGCCATGTCCAGCAGCAACTGGCGGTTTATGTGGGTAAGATGCAGTTTTATGGCTGGTTGGTCATGATCATCCATGAGTCTTCAGTCCGCAAGGGACACTTGTAATGCACAAGCTGGGACTTGTGACGGAAGCGCAAATCTCCATGGCAATGCCCTCATGCCAACACGCGGTTGATCTCAGCGACAACCGGCAGACAGGCACGGCTCTTCCGGCGACTTGCTTTTTGAAAGACAGCCTGTCCACTGTGGATGCAGTTCGCTCGCGGTCTCATCCGTTGCGTCTGGCCCATGCCTCTCAGCGGTAGCAGAGATCTTGTTGCGCCTCGGCGCATTCCCGCAAGATGGGCAAGCC